CTTTGTCGCCCTTCTCTGGACCCGCTCCAGCACCTCAATGTCTTTTTTATGGTAGGGGGCCCAAAACTGGACACAGCACTCGAGGTGAGGCCTCACCAGTGCCCAGTACAGGGGGACCATCACCTCTCGGGCCCTACTCCCCACGCTGTTCCTGACACAGGCCAGGATGCTGGTGGCTTTCTTGGCCACCTGGGCACACTGCTGGCTCATGTTCAGCCGACTCGAGGTGAGGCCTCACCAGGGCCCACTCCAGAGGCACGATGACTTCCCTACTCCTGCTGGCCACGCTATTCCTGATACGAGCCAGGATGCCATTGGCCTTCTTGGCCACCTGGGCACACTGCTGGCTCACGTTAAGCCTGCTGTCTACCAACACCCCCAGGTCCTATTTCTTCCGGGCAGCTTTCCAGCCACTCTTCCCCAAAAAGGGGGGGGGGTGAGGGTGCAGAGACCTCCCCCCGGGGGGTCCTTACCCAGTTTCTTGTTGGCCGGGGAGACGGGAAGGTCCTCCAGCCGCGGGGCGGGCAGGGACGGCGGGAGGGAGCCGGGGGCTGCTGCGGATCGGGACAGAGACCGGCTGCTGCTCCGCTGCTCCGGCCGCTGCCCGGGGGACGAAGGGCTCTGGGAAGGATGCAGGATGAGCGATTTTGTGTCAAAGTCTGCTATTCCGTTCGCTAGTTCAGGCACCGCTGTAGAAAAGCACACTCGTTTAACGGGGAAAAAGGCCGAGGGGGAGGGGGGGGGAGCACAACACTGAGCGTCTCGAAAAAAAAAACCCCAAATCAATCAGAAATCGGAAGCCAAGGGCGAGTCGCTCTTTCCTGAAGAGCCATCCAAACAAATGGGTATTTAAAACTGACCCAAAACCGAACGGGAACGTAAAAAAATTAAAAAAAGGAGGAGGAGGAGGAGGCAATTCCTCTGCTTTTTGAACCAGGCATCGCTCGGGGAGACTGACCTGTTCCCCGGGGCCCGGCGGGGCCCTCGCACTCCTCCAGCTCTCGGGCATCGATGGAAAGCGCATCCAGGCCCTCGCTGAGCGAGTCCACGGACTCCGTGTCGTGGGCGCAGCCGTTGACATGGAAACCGTTAATTCCCCCCTTCTCGGCGGCGTTGGCCGACGGCTCCTCTTCAGTGGACACCAATTTCCCCGGGGCTGGGAGGCCGGGGCTCGATTCAGCCGGAGGTTTTGGTTTGGTTTTCTTCTTCTTGTTCTAAGGATTAGGTGTCCGCAAGCAGAGAAAGGCCGGGGGGAGCGCGGGTTGAGGGGGAGGAGAAAAACACAACGTTAAGCCTAATTCCTGAAGGGCAAATTAAGCTTATGCTTTACTGGCTGAAAGTAGCCGAATTAAGGGCTTTTTCAGGCAGGCTGGCTGTTGATCCTGTTAACAGGAGGAGGGATTTATTCGACAATGAGGACAGATATAGTGGTATTAATGAGGCGTGAATACATTATCCCCCCCCCAGGAGGTGGTTATGGGGTGAAGGCTACACAAGGGACAAGCAGCACCCAAGGGGCTGGTGGCTGCACCCCAGGGCACCGTCTGGGGGGACTTAAGGGGTGCTCCCCGCCGGGGTGCAGCTTCCAGGATGCTCTTTTGGACCCTCGCGGGGATAAAACTCCCCCCCTTTCCCACCCCGGGGTTATTCAGTCACATTCCTCCCCTGGCCCTGCCACGCCGCCGCTTTTCACGTATTCAAAGAAGCCCTTTTGAATAATTATGATTTTATTCCCGTCCTGGCGGATTTAGATATGATAATATCAAGCGCTGAAACTTTGCAAAAACCTTTATTTAACCCTTTCACAGGGGCCCGGGCAAAGGAGGAGGAGGCAAAACACTGGAGAAAGCTTTATGTGACAGAGAAATATATTTCCACAGAGCTCAGCATTAAAGGCAACTGTTCAGCTCCAAAGGTTACCCATGAAAAATGGAAGAGCGTGACTATCCCCAGCAGTGAATTACGGAGCTCGGGTGAAATAAATGGACCCGGTAAAGATTTACTGGGGCGCGGGGGCCGCCTGCGCGGACGAGGGGTGCCGCAGAGGGGCAGCAGGATGAGAGGGACCGCAAGGACGGCCAGTCTAGAACCTTTCTTTCTCCAGATGCTGCGTTCGACGCCGCGTCTGACAACCCAATGACATGCAAAATGCTGGGGAGAAGCTGCGATTTACAGCTCGCCCTCAGGTTCCTGTGGAAATCACTGCCCTGAGCACCGACAGCCAGCGACGATCCCCCCGCTGACACCCACAACCCACCCTGCTCTTCGAGGCCTTTGCCCACCTAAATCCCGAGGGATGTGGACTGTTCTCCTTTTATCTCGAGTCTAAATCCTCGAGATAAAAAGACAAGTGCCTCGGCAAAGTATATTCAAAAAGCATTACCTTTTTTTTGCCCGTTACAGTCCATTCTTTCAGCACTTCGCTGGCGTTGCCTGAAAGGAGAGGCAGGGATGAAGGGGTGGACGCGGCCCCCCAACCCCGCTTCCTCCCAGTTAGGTGGGAGTGCCTCCAAACTGGAGCCAGCTCAAACCCTCCCCGCAGCCAAGTCTCCAATCTCTCAGCTGGTGTAATAAAAGGATCGGTTTCATTTTTGCTTTGGGAACACAGGGCTGAAAGGGACCGTTCCCTGAGAACACAGCTCTTTCCAGGGGATAAAAAAAAAATAAAAAAAGAAATAAGTAAATAACCTTCTCTCTGGCTTTGTCTTACTAAAGGTTTGGGTGCCTGGAACCTGCTGGAAGGTGTGTTCTGCTGGGGGAGGTTGGGTTCAGGTCAGAGCCACCGCTGGGGTCAGGATGGCCGTGGCCGGGCTGACAGCCCTTCTGCTGGCCCGGGGGCAAAGCACGGCTGTCAGCGGTGGCCAGTGCCACCAGAGAAGAGCCACAGAGTGACAGGAGCTGTCACCAGCCCCAGCCTGGTCCCCAGGGTCAGGAGATCCATCTCAGGCAGGGTGCCAGCCCCGGGAGGAGATTTGCCACCAGCCAGGTCTCAAAGTACAAACAGCAACTAGAGCCCAGCTGAAGACATCCCCAAGAGTTTCTGCAACCCGGTACCAAACCTCTTTTATCTACAGAGCAATCAAACCCTTATCTCTGCCTTGACCCCTCGCTGAGCAAACACCAAATAAAACTCAGGGAGAGGCTCATCCCCGGGTTATTTTTATGGATGGAGCCTCTATTTGGACACGCTGAGGAGCCACGGAAGCTCTTGCTGCGCTCCCTGGCACAGCCCTTTTTGCCCAAAGGCTGTTTCTGCCTCTCAGGGGGGGGTCCATAAATGGGGTCCGTGGGGGATACGCAGCCACAAACCCCACCAAGGCACCCACCTTCCATAAAGGCTTGCACCGTCCTGTCCACGCAGTTGTCAAAGTGCTGCAGCACGAGGACGATCTCGTTGTTGCTCCGGTTGGGGACTATTGCCCGCACGGCGCTGATCTGGAGGGAGGAAAAACAGGGGGGAAAAAAGTGTAAACCCTTCGCTTTTTCTCCCCCCATGAGCCCACTCAGCCCTTCTGCGGGGAGGCTAAAAACCGCAACCCGTGACTTCCTTATAAAACTTTCATGTGTCAGGACCATTTAGCCTGAATAAAATTGTGCTTTTGACAGAGCGGCGGTTACCTCCCGGACAGAAACATATTTCATCCCCGAGAGGAGATGAAGATACAGCACTCACGAGCTCTTCCCCGGCATGTGGCAAGTCAAAAGTCTCCGAAGACACATTTACCTTCTCCTTCATGTTTTCAAAGGTTCCTCCTTGGGCCATCACGGTGTTGGACTGCACATCAAAAATGAACCCAGACGCGTCTGTGGAGACAAAGGAGAGGGAAGGGTCGCTTCTGAACAACAGGGAGGCGTTTAGAAAGGGATGAAGCAGGAGGCCAGCTCCGAAACGGGCCTTCGATGAGGAGAAAATTGAAATCCTACAAACGTAGGGCGCTCGCTGGCTCGTTCCCTTGTGTGGTTAGAGGGGGCCATCAGCCGCCGAGAGTAAACTGGGGGGGTTATTAGAGTAAATCAGGGAGTTATTGAAGTAAATCAGGGCATTATTAGAGTAAATCAGGGGGTTATTGGCTGCTGCAAGTAAACCAGAGGGTTGTTACCTGCTGAGAATAAACCAGAGGATTTCCCAGCCTTGTTTAAGGGCCAGATTCTGTTTCTTCAGGTGGCCCCAGCTGACCCTGGTTTGCCAACGAGAGCCCCCCCCCTCCTCTGTGAACTCAAGAAGCCGATTCACTTCTCAGCTCTGGCTCAATTTAACCAACCAACCCACCACGGCTCAAAACCACAAGCCAAAAAACCCACAAAAGCCCCACTAGGGCTGGTGTCTAACAACAGCTCGCTGAGGCCCAGCACTGCGCCGGCATTTCCACGTCCGTCTCCTCCCGAGCCCAGGGATAAGGAGTTAAGAGAAGCAGTGTGGTTAACAATTTCCTCCACCCGGAGGTACAAATGGCAAAAGCAGACTGATAAATGGCTCTGAAGATCCAGCAGCTCGTGTTCCCTGCCAGCCACCATCTCCAGGGTAATGCCTCCCTGTTCCAAAAAGAGACCGGCGATGGGGACAGCCGTCACCGAGGGCTCTGCTCCCCGTCACATCCATCCATGGGCCCCACCGTGTCCCACCCCACGAGCTCCTGGCATCACAAATTCACTCCCCGCTCGCCTGCCAAAGGGGCTGAGCGGGCTACATTTCAGGTCTGTTAAGGAAAAAGGGATGAAGCTGTTCGTGGAGGTGTTTTGCTACGACAGAAGGTACTTTAAGTTGGCATTTTAGCCACGTTAGGTCTCAGGAAGGACACGTGGCCCTCAGGAAGGACATGTGGTGGGGCCTCAGGGGTTTTAAACCCTCCTCATTCTGCACCACCAGCCCTTTTTTCCAGGGATCCACAAAACCCCCAGCAGATCTCGATGCTTCCAGCTCCGCACGTACCAGGGCAGCCCAGGAGAGAGGTTCTGGGGTGGCTTTGGGGACCTTCTGGGGAAGGGACACTTCCAACCAGGGCAGGGTGCTCCGCGGGGCCACTCGCTGGGTCACTGCCCTTTGGGCTTTAGCTCGGCTGATATTCCCAGCTGCTGATTCATGTTCTTTCCCCTCCCCTCCTCTAAATAACTCGTACGCGACGCCGAGACACCCCATTGACTTCTCGCGGCTCCCAGACATTGATGTAGCATTTAAAGCCAGATGCCTCCAAACGCAGTGACAGAATTGTGAACATGATGGAAAGGTCAGCCTCTTATTAAGGCTACAGATGAACGGTTAAATTCCTCCTCGCGCCGGCCTCGCCCCTCTCAGCCCCACCAGCAAGATTTGCTCGAGTTTCCCCAGCTGGCACAAGTTGGGAGTTGCCAACTTTCCGATCCTTAATCTTACAAATGGCGCTCGGCCTCTCGTCCCCGAGTGAGAATTAGCAATCTTTTCTCAAAAACCTTCATCCCGCAGCGGCCACCGAGGGCCCAGGTGCCAGGAAAGATGAAGTTCAGCTCCCCCCCCCCCCACCCCCCCCCCCGCGGGGCCCGTTTTCACCCCGCGGCCCACCTGTGGGCCCACATCCCCGGCCTGGCCTAGGCCCATCCGCAGGGAGGTGCCCAAAGCCTGGGGCTGGCCCTGCCCGGCCCAGGCAACCTTCCCGGTACAGCTGCGATATGCCCCGGGGGCCCCGGGGACAGGAAAAAGATAGTTCCCCCCCCCCCCCCCCCTCCCCCAGCCCCGACGGGGCACGTTTTCAGCCGCTCCATCCCCATCCCTTTCCCTCGTCCCCTGCTCTGAGAGGGGGGCTATCGCTCCCAGCCGCTCCTCCGGCTTCCAGCCCGGTCCCTCCTGGTGGCAAAACGTTTATCATGCAAAAATTATGCGAGGGAGACTACGCCGGATACATTTGATATTGCCCTTGAGCGCTCCCAGGCATCATTAAAAGGGCTCGGGCCTCTCCTGGGGGTGGGTTTCTGCAAGAAGGGGCAGAATTTAAAACGCCGGCGCCCGCCCGGACGGGAGCGGGGCAGCCACCAGCCACCTCGGAAAGGTTTTTTTTTTTTTGGTTTTCTTTTTTTGAATTAACAACCTTGCTGGGAAGGAAAGCTCCTTCCCAAAGCCGGGGCTCAGACGGAGCGTGTCATGTCTGACGTGAGGAGTCAGTCAGGCGCCCGCGCCGATCGCTCCTGCATTAACACACACACACACACACACACACTCACTGCCCGCTCCCTTCCACGGGATAAACCCCAGAGACGACACCAACGGCCTCTAATTGCTTCTCTCTTCCCAACTGCATCCTCCAGAAAAAGAAGGTGGCAAGAAATCATTCGCGCCCCTCATCATTTCCTTTTGTGTTTCGGCGCTATTTATTGGACTAACGACACAGGATCTTCTTAAACAGAAGCACTAACGATGCCAGGAAGAATCCACCCGATCAAATCTCACCCTCCTCCTCCTCCTCCTCCTCCCGAGCTCGGCCAATTAGTCCTTTCTGTATGAATGCCCGCTCCCTTCCACGGGATAAACCCCAGAGACGACACCAACGGCCTCTAATTGCTTCTCTCTTCCCAACTGCATCCTCCAGAAAAAGGAGGTGGCAAGAAATCATTCGCGCCCCTCATCATTTCCTTTTGTGTTTCGGCGCTATTTATTGGACTAACGACACAGGATCTTCTTAAACAGAAGCACTAACGATGCCAGGAAGAATCCACCCGATCAAATCTCACCCTCCTCCTCCTCCTCCTCCTGAGCTCGGCCAATTAGTCCTTTCTGTATGAAACACGTGCAAGAATTAACACAGCAGACCTGACGAACGCCTGCTCCGCTTCCCGGGACAGGCGAAATAAAACCGTTCTCCCACCCGAGAGAAGCCAAACTCCTCAGGTGGGTCACTGCCCCCCTTGGGGGGAGCCAAGCCCAGCCCTGGCTCACTGGTGTTTTGTACGGAGAGGCAGAAATGGGAATAAAAAGCCCCCATCCTGGCAGCCACGTGGCTTTCACCCCCGCCGATGGCACAGCACACACCGTACGGCGGGTCCTCGGCTGCGTCCTCCTCCTCCCAGCCCCTCCAGAGCTTCATCCCCATCCCAGCGGGGAGTTTGCACCATAAAATAGCGTAGAAATTTTTTTTTTTAAAGCCCCACTTCAACCACCACCCCGTTCACCCGCGGGCGGAGGCTTTGGGGACTTATTCACTTAAAGAGTCAAGATCCGGTTAAACCGTGAAACGTTTTATAGACTCTGTGGCTTCTCAGGTCAGCGGTGACGGCGCCGGCTCTCCCAGGGAACAAACAACCTGGGCTAATGCCAAAGAAAAAGCTCCGAAGGAAACGGCACCTCGGCTGCTCCCTCCCAGCACCTCCAATTTGCTCTAATTACCAGCGCCTTCGTTAAGTCCCTGCGCCGCGAGGCTGGGGAGCCGGCGCTGCCCGGGACCGCAGAGGTGGCCGGGCAGGAATTAATGCAGCTTCCCAGGATGGAGCAAAGGAGGCAGGATATCACTATTCTCTTGCCCTGTGCCTGCAGTTACAGCAAAATACCCCAAAATATAGAATAAAACAAACAACAATCAGGATTTCTGGAAAAAGGGCTACAGGGGGTTACATCCGTGAGCCCTTTTGGTGGCCACGCGGCTCCTTGGGCAGCACTTGGAGCAAGGACCACCCTGGGCTGCACCTCCCAGCTCTCCCGTGTCGTGCTTTTCCCTAAAAATTCCACCATCCCACTAGTATTTTTCCTTTGTCAGAGCAGTTCTGGCCGAGAGGCGGCAGAGGAACCCGCGTTAAACCCTCTCCTCAGGAATTAGGGAGAAATCAGGACTAAACCGGGATCACAATCAATATTCCTGGGTCTGCTGCCAGGAAGAGATTTCATTGGTATCAGGAAAAACTACATAAAACCACAAAATTTTTCCACGATCCCTCCCACACGCTGCCCTGAGCTCCCCCCTTTCCCCAAAGCACATGAAGATATTCGAGCGGGTCCGTTTTTGCCCCGTTTTCCCCCATTTGCTGCCTGGGTTTGGTGCCCTGCTCAGCTCTTGTGGAAACTACTCCCAACCCCAAGGTGGGGGGAAATATTCCCCTGGGATATTCCCGATATTCCTCTGGCCCACAGAGGCTGCAGCTGCACCTCAGGGTCTCAGCTCAACAAGAAACGCCAACTTTCTGGCTCCTTTTCCCAAAAAGATTCCAAGGGGTCAAGCATGAGCCGTGGCCTCCTCGGTCCGGGACAAAACGTGCTGCTTTTGGACTAGAACAAGGCCACGGAGGCGAGAGACGGACTCACAATTTGAAGAATTCATTCCAAAGTGAGCAAATTAAACCTTCCAGATATCCCATGGGAGAAGGATCCCATCACCTGGCAGCCAAGGTGGGGGGAAATATTCCCCTGGGATATTCCCGATATTCCTCTGGCCCACAGAGGCAGCAGCTGCACCTCAGGGTCTCAGCTCAACAAGAAACGCCAACTTTCTGGTTTCTTTTCCCAAAAAGATTCCAAGGGGTCAAGCACGAGCCGCGGCCTCCTCGGTCCGGGACAAAACGTGCTGCGTTTGGGCTAGAAACGGACTCACAATTTGAAGAATTCATTCCAAAGTGAGCAAATTAAACCTTCCAGATATCCCAGGGGAGAAGGATCCCATCAGCTGGCAGCGGGAGAGCGAGCCCTGGTACCGACTCGGGCTACACCCCAGTATAACACCATATTCAGCTACGGGCTTGGGAGAGTGGGAGAAAAGGGAAATTAAATAGGGAATCACAGAATCACAGAATCTTCTAGGTTGGAAGGGACCTTCAAGATCATCTTGTCCAACCGTCAACCTGACTGACAAAAATAGACACCCACACAACAAACAAGGAGCATCATCAAATAAAGCATCATCAATAAAAACTAACTTCTTGCAAATCAACTAAAATACACCCAAAGTTCTGCTGCGGGAACTGGGTGTTTCTGCCCGAGAGAGCAAGCAGGTGGTTTTGCCCTGATTTAGGGGTTCACAGTGTTTGTCACCAGCCCAGGTGGCCCCGGTGCCACGCCCTGGCCACCACCCTCCTCCTGCTCCGGGCACACAGGAGCAGAGCCAGGCCATGGGCAGGAGCCAGAGAGCTGTCGAGGGAATTCAAACTGCAAGACAGCTCCTTCCCCCTCCCACCTCATTTCCATCTACACATAAAAAATGGGAAATTAAATTAAATTAAACCGGCGCCTTTGCAGAGCGAAGCAGCCAAAGTTCCCACAAATTCCCGATGCTCCCCCCCACATCCGAGCTCAATCCCGACCAGGATCCCATTTCCCAGGTGACAGAATATTCACTTTTGGGTGTTTTCAGCGTCACTCACAGCGGGGGCCACCAAACTGAGCCACCCCGAGCCACGTCCCGGTTTGCCGAGCCCACCAGAAGTTAGCAAATAGCCCGCAATCACCCCAAATCAGTGCCTCCTGCCCGACTGACGTGCCAAAGCAGGAGCTGAACATGAAATTTCACTCCCATTTGGCGTTGGTGTGAAGCTGAGACCCTTCCCAGAGACCTTTCTCCTTCACCGAATTCACCCCGGATGGTTTTCCATCAGCCGAAGCGGCTCCCGGTGGTATCCAGATGAGCAGGAACCCGGGTGCTGTTTTATTCAGGACCCTGGCACGCCCGAGACGGCGGCTGACGGCCGATGGAAACAAGATTTATGTGATTGCTTTGTGTCCCGGGGTCAGGCGTCGTTCCCCGAGCCCGGTGGCTGCTCTCCCTCAAATCAATTAATCGAGCGGGGAGGGGGACGGGGGGGACGAGCCGAGGGGGGGAAAGAGAAGCACCAAGAATCCGGGATCACTCCGGAGAGCAGCAAAGCACCGACCCCGCGGGACCCCGGGGAAGTGTTTATTTAGAGACCTGGCATCACCGAGGCTGCTTTTTCCTTCCAATTTCTAAATTATCCCTCGTGGAATATGCTAAAGCTGAAACGAGCCACCCAGTACAACCCAGACACGCAGCTGGGTCTTCACTGGGGGGGCCATTACACCCCTGTTTTTTTGGAGATTGAGTGAGGAGTTATTTACAGCCAGGGATATTCAGGAGCAGGATGTGATTTTGTGCCCAAACTTTGCATATGCATTTTCACAAGACTTAAAAATACCTTTCTGGGGCGCTCAGGTGTTGGCTCTGCTCTGGGGTGGGGGGGGGACACCTTCCCTTTTGGAATTGGGAAGGGCTGTGGTATTAAAGATCCCTCTGTCTCCTTCCCTTCTCTCTCAACACTCCTTTGTTCCAGCTGCAAAAGGGCTTTTGTTTCGCTTTCAGAAAGGAAGAGAGAGCAAAAAAGGCCTTACCCCCCCCCCTTTACCTGGCCGAGGCGCACGGCTTCACGGGGGACTGGAAAATATCGGGTGAGAGCAGGGGGAAAGCAGTCATCCAAAATTCCCTCACAGCCCAGAGAGGCCAGGGCAGGGCTGGAGGAGTCTGGGGCTTTAACTCTCCCCTTCCCCGATGCCCACACGGCTCCTGGAGCCCCACAGCAAAGCCCAGGCCCCCGTGAATTAAAGCCTGCTCTGCCTTCCTGCTCCAGGGTCAAATATTTATGCCCAAAATCCCTTTGCTCCCTGCAAAATCCCTCTCTCACACTCTGCCCAACACCTGGAGCAGCGACCGTGCCGGTTCCTCCTCGGGCTGGGGGTTTCCCAACCCCCCCTGACCCCCCTGGGTACCAGCTCTGGGGGTCTCCCCTCCTTGTCCCCTGCAGATTTCTCTCCCCCACACCCATTAATTCCCCTCCGCTCTCTCAAGGTGGGCTTTTTCCCTCCTCATCTGCTCAGCACCGACGACTCCGGGCTCTGTTTCCAGCACCAGAAGAAATCAATTTCTTAACGACTCGCACCGAGGTTTCCCAGAGCACAGGTACAAAACCCAGCGCTTTAAAAAAAAAACCCCTCCAAAATTACCCTCCGCAATAATTTCCACAACTGTTACTAATTGCTTTGAATCACGTATGGATCCGGCTGCCAAAGGCCGGCCGGGCTCCCCAGGTACACACTGTTTCTATGCTAAAGCTGCTAGAAAAAAAAAACAACCAACGAAAAATAATAAAAAAAAAAAATCTACCGAGAACAAAAGCTCTTCTCTTGAGGTAGAGGACAGGAATTGTCAAACCCCTTCGCTTTAAATTATTAATTAGTAGCCAGTTCAAATAAAAAGAAAAGCGTAACCCTTACCCCCCTTCTCCCCCCCCACACACACACTTTGGAATTAATGTTTCACGGGCGACAAATAAGATCCCTCCCTGGAACAAGGGGCTGAGGCCGTCGCCAGAAAAAAAAGGAAAATGGGCCCCTGTGTGTGGAGACAAAGGAGGGAAAAAGCTTCCCACAAACACACACCTATCGCCCAGAAAAGGGGTCTGGCCACGAGGCCAGAGCTGAGCTGGCCCAGCTCAACGTGGTGGCTGGTTTAACTGGGCTCTGGGCAAGTAGTGACCACAGGCAGGAGAAGCGAGTCCGAGCCTGAAGCCCACCCTGAGTCCCCCCCCGGGGGTGGGCAAGGGCTGGATGGGAAGGGGACTGAGTTTGGGTGGAGTTAATGCCATGGGAGACCCTCAAATTCCCTGTGATGGGAATCCCACACTGGCTGGGGAACCCTCCTCCTGCACCCCATGGGGAACCCCCCTCCTCTTCCTCCTCCTGCACCCCATGGGGAACCCTCCTCTTCCTCCTCCTGCACCCCATGGGGAACCCTCCTCTTCCTCCTGCAACCTCCAGGGAACCCCCTCTCCTCCTCCCACACCCCCTGGGGAATCAAACCCCCCCACATCTGCTGGGGGACCCTCCGTCTCCTCCCGCACCCGCTGAGGAACCCTCATCCTCCTCCTCCTCATCTCACACTGGCTGGAGAACCCTCCTCCTGCACCCCCCGGGGAACCCCCCTCCTCCTCCTCCCCCTCCTCCACCCCCCCCGGGCCCCCCCTCCCCCTCCCCCCCCCCCACGCCTCCCTCCTCCTCCCCCACCCCCACGTCTTCCGGGAATCAATCCCCCCCACATCTGCTGGGGGACCCTCCGTCTCCTCCCGCACCCGCTGAGGAACCCTCATCCTCCTCCTCCTCATCCCACACCGGCTGGGGAACCTTCCTCCTGCACCCCACGGGGAACCCCCCTCCTCCTCCTCCTGCACCCCATGGGGAACCCTCCTCCTCCTCCTGCAACCTCCAGGGAACCCCCTCTCCTCCTCCCACACCCCCCGGGGAATCAATCCCCCCCACATCTGCTGGGGGACCCTCCGTCTCCTCCCGCACCCGCTGAGGAACCCTCATCCTCCTCCTCCTCATCCCACACCGGCTGGGGAACCTTCCTCCTGCACCCCACGGGGAACCCCCCTCCTCCTCCTCCTGCACCCCATGGGGAACCCTCCTCTTCCTCCTCCTGCACCCCATGGGGAACCCTCTTCCTCCTCCTCCTCCTGCACCCCATGGGGAACCCTCCTCCTCCTCCTGCAACCTCCAGGGAACCCCCTCTCCTCCTCCCACACCCCCTGGGGAATCAATCCCCCCCCCATCTGCTGGGGGACCCTCCATCTCCTCCCGCACCCGCTGAGGAACCCTCATCCTCCTCCTCCTCCTCCTCCCGCACCCCAGGAAAATCAAGCAACTCTTTCAGCTGCTTAAACCAATGTTTTTTTTTCCTCTGCCGCTGTCGGGCCGTGGAAGCGACACAATATTTCACATTATCCGGGGACTGGGGGAATCAGAACTGTCCAGTCGGACAACTGAGACGCGCCTAAAAATGTCACAAACCCCACCAGGTTACACCGTGTCACACGGAGAGTGACAAGGAGCTGTCAAGCGACAGCAGCAGCCAGGAGAGGAGCACAGCCAGAGCAATTAACCCCTTCCCTAATTGATAACGTCAAGAATCGATAGCGCTGTTTATTGGCATTTGATGCCGTCGCGTTCCGGCGCCTCTTACCTTTCGTGTTTTGCTTTTTAGACATCTCGGGGGGGTCGCTTTGGCCTCCAGCTGTACGGGAAGGGGGGGGGGTTGTGTGTGGGTGGAAAAGGCAGATCCTCGCCCTTGAGAGGCAGCTGGAATTCCCTCCGACGCGGGGAGCGAGGCCGGGCTGGCAAAATCCCAGCTGCCAGGGGGCAAGAGGGGTCTGGAGGGGGTTGTGTGTGTGTGGAAAAGGCAGATCCTCGCCCTTGAGAGGCAGCTGGAATTCCCTCCGACGCGGGGAGCGAGGCCGGGCTGGCAAAATCCCAGCTGCCAGGGGGCAAGAGGGGTCTGGAGTTGTCAGGAATCTGCTGACAGACCCCCGGGGAGGGGCTGGGGGGGAGCTCCTTGTCACGGCTGCAGCCGCCGGTATCGGGCCTTCGCAGGTTCTGAAAGAGAAAGGGAAAAAAGAAGAAAAAAATAATAAGAAAATCACTGCTGGACCAGCCAAAGCACACCCCGAGCCCCCCCCACCCCAGCCTGTCAGAGCCCCTCTTGCTGGTGAGTTTTAAGAGTAAAAATTCTATTTTGGTTCAAAGGTGGGGTGAAACAACCGGCCGGAATAAAAAGCATCATTAAATATAAAGCAACAAGATCCCTCCAGGCTGGGTCCAGCTTCACTCAAAGCTGCCAGCAGACACCGTCCCCCCCGCGGGCGGCAGAACCAGGGGGGGTTCAGGATAAAAAAACCCCCACCATTTACACAAATCCCAGCCTTTTGGGCCATTAAAGAGCCTTTAGAGTGGCTCAGGTGGGTGACACTCGGTGACACCGCTCGGGAGGCAAAATTCACTTTGTCGCACGCACCCAAAAGCGGACGGATTTCAAATAGATTATTCCAGAAAGACAAACACCCCCCACCCACCCCCCCGGCGTGGGGACAGCTCTCAGGGTGTCACATCCCCCCCGTTCTCCCCATTTTTGGATCCCGGGAGGCAGCTCCACGTCAGGGCAGGGTGACAGGTTAAACAAAGAGCAGCGGGAGACGGGAGGTGAGGGAACAATGGGGACCTCTCTGCCCCCAAAAATTCCCCGGGGGGGGGCACAAAACCTTCACAAGGCGGTGGGGAAAACCCCCCAAAATTGCCACTTCGATAGGTAAAACGCGGGTAAAACAAAGAGGTGAAATATTTTCGTAAACATGAGGAGACCTCGTAGGTTTTCAGCCAAACCCACGCGCTCCTGACAAACGAACCGACGGCGCTGAGAAAACATGCGTCTCGTTTGCTCCAGAAATAATTAGAAAGTTGGGCTCCCGGCCACCCTCCCCCCCCCAAAATCGCTCAGGATTATTTTTAGGGAGATGGCTTCCGCGCCGGAGGAATTCAGACACATTCCTGCCAGGCCAGGCCGGCGACGTGGCCCCAGGGTCCAGCGACAGGGTCTAAAACGAGCCTATTTTGATTTAAAAATAGATGTTTCCTCTCATTAGAATTTTCCTCCGCGGGAGTTCACAACTTATTTCCGAGCGGCGACCCCAGGAATCTAAAATCCGAGAGGGAGTCGCCGCTAAAAAAAAAAAAAAACCACTCTGCAAAGGAATTTTTTTACCTGGAAAGAGAGTCCCGAGAGGAGGGGGTGGGTACAAACTCCTGCCTCGCCGCCTTCAGCGCTCCGGATTAATCGCCTTCCTTCGTTTTGATGCCTCAAGGCACTAAATAGCACCTCTTAAAAAAAAAATAAAAATAATATAATGTGGTCTTGGAAACTCTGCTCAAAACCAGAGAAGCTGGAGAATTTCTTTAAGCTGGAGCTGCCGTGCGGGGTGTGAGCTGGAGAGCACCGGCAGGTCGGGCCGACGGGATTCGATTTGCACGATTACACCCCATTTCACTCAGCCTCCGGCACCTCCCGCGATTCCGAGATAACGCCGGGTTATGGAGAAGGCAAAACGCTCCCGCACCGACCTCTGACACCGGAGTTCAACGCCTTCCTGCCATATTGCCCAGAGATTTTAAAACAAACAGAAAGAAAAAAAACTCAACTCCCCCCCCTTCCCCACCTCCCTCCGCAGCCGCGCCATTCAGTCGTCTTCATAATTCCATTTTTTTGGTAAATAATGGGGTAATCCGGAGGGAGCGTGGAAATAGGCAGGCGCTGCCAAACGGGAGGGTGGTTTACCTGAACTCCCTCAAGTTGACTCAAACTTAACTCGGGGAAAACAAAGGAACACTTAAAAACCGCCTCGTGCCGTCCCCGAAAAGCAAATAACTGGGAGAACAGCTCATTCAGACAGAGCCTGGAAACAAGCTGTAAAAAAAAAAAAAAAAAACCAACAAACCACCCCAAAGTCTCAGGCAAAGAAGTTATAAGGAAACGTCAAAAAAAAAAAGCCTGAAAAAGGCAACACAATATCACCTCAGAAAGAGTTTTACCCACTTCAAAGGAGGAAAATAAACAGTAATTAAGTCTTGGGGGGAAAACAAACAAGAGGCAGCGGCAAGAGAAATTCCACACACAAAAGTAATAAAATAATGGAGCGGAAACAAAACCCCACGGATGGATCTGACAGGTATCAGAGGGCAAATCGTCAATCCTTGATGATGTGATTAATATTTGGGCCGATAACGAAGAACCCAGAGCCAAAGAGTCGGGAGCGGCTCTGGCTCGTGGCAAAATCAGGGTTTGGGCTGGAAATTTCAGCACGGTAATTAGCCGGGAACCTTAACGAGAGTGGCACAAGGTGGGGGGGGGGGGCATTTTTTAAAACCCCAAGTGGAAATTTCAAGCCTGGTAAAACAGCAAAGGTTAATGAAAGCGCAAATAAAATATCTGAGCTCCTTTGGAGAAGGGTGATATGAGGCTTATACACGCACTACACAAAGCGAGAGAAACAGTGAAGCACAGACACGTTAAAAAAATCTACCTGCAGAATTAAAATAAAATATTGTAGTTTTACTGGAATCACTGGGGGAGAAACCCAACTCCCTCTGGGTACGTCCGGAGCCACCAAACTCCTCCCGGAGCCACCAACGTTCAGCCGCCGCCGGAAAACTTTTCCAAATAGCACCAGAAATGCACATTATTGTTTAACTGCCCCAAAATATCAACCCGTTCCACCTCGTTGGGAAAAGAGGAAAACATTCAGAATTTTTACAGACAGCGAGTCCCAAAAAGAAACAACTCCTGAATCTATCCTGGCTCTGTCTGGGTGGGATTATTTCAGCAAACTTTGGGAACTCGATAGCTCCCCGTTTGAGAGGAAAGATGAGAAACGGTAACAAATTTGTCTGGGTTTTTTTTTTTTTTTTATCTTTTCTTTTTTTAAAAAATTGACATTTATTTTCCTTTTAGGAAGATTTTGGAACCTAGTACCATTTTCTCTATAAACTAACCAAGTAGTGGGTGAACAGGTGGTGCCTTGCTTACTGTAAAGAAACTCAATGTTGACCACAACAGAAGCCTGTGCCATTCTCTCCTTTTCTCACATCTCTGGGTTTTTTTTTTTTTTTTATATTATTATTATTATTATTAGTCTATGGAAAGTGCTTTTGAGGAGAAACCTGGAGAATTGGTTAAATCTGCTTCTCGGGAGGGATTTGGCCGGGGTTGCTGGGGGCTCCGTAATTCCCGCCGTACGGCAGCATCTGGCTAATTGGCTTCTGAGTTAATTTATTTTTATCTCGTTGACGGAGCGCGTC